TAACCCATCACCACACAAATGTACCTGTTTCCAGAACGAGTTTGGGGCAAAGGACCAGCAATGTTAATGACTACTCTTTCCATTGGTGCACCAACTTGATATAACTTCATTTGGAGCACGTCCCTTATGCTTGGGTCCCCTTTTAGCACAACATATACTGCAGGTCCTGCACCATTCTTCCACATCTTGCCACATACCTATCTAATAAAATCTCTGCCATAGGTGACTCAATCTCTTCTTAACTCTAAGATCTCCTCCTGTTAAACTATCATGGGATTGACGCAGCACAACTTCCCGTAAATTTCTCGGTATAACTGTTTGCCAGGTCGTCACTTTCCCATCTCCTGGGGGAAGAATACCATCTTCAAGCTTCAACTGGTCCCATTGTGCCCAATAGTTCTTTGTCACAGGGCCTAAGCTAAACACCTTCTCCCAAGCAGGGCACAAAACACTTGCTTGTAGAAAATTAATTATTGGCTTCAAATCTTGGTCTTTCTCCTGTTCTGCTTTAGTATCTATACTTGATTCCACTTCACCATCATCAACTCCTTCAGTCACTTCAGCTTGATGGCACCTGATTAGTTCAACCTCTCTTTTGCAACAATGCCTGCAGACACTTTTGCATGGTCTTCGGCTCAGTCTGTCTGCATTTCCATGAGATTTTTCTTCTCTATATTCAATATCATAATTATACTGGACTAACTTTCCGATCCAATGTGCCAGTTGGATCTCTGGGTTCTTTAATGATCTTAACCAGCGTAATGTAGCATGATTTGTCCTGATGGTAAACCTGGCGCCATAAAGGTAAGGATGGAAATATGTCAGACTCTTTACTATAGCAAGGAGTTCCTCTCTGGTCTTCTCAGGACTCTACTGAAGTAAGCCACTACATGTTCGTTTTCACCAACTTTCTGAACCAACACTCCTCCAATTCCAACATTACTCACGTCACAATCCAGTATCTATGGCAGTGAGGGATTTGGAAGCTTTAAAAGTGGAGCTGAGGCCAGTTTTTCTTCCAATGTCTTAAAACTATGCTGACATGAAACTGTCCTTTCGAACTTGTGGCCTTTTTTTGTCAAATCATGTAGTGGAGCAGCTATAGTTGCAAATTCCTTCACAAACTTCCGGTAATAGGTACAGAGT